CAGCAGGCTGTGCCTAAGATGGTGGCACCAGGCAAAGTCCCACGTGCCAGGCCTGTACTTGCCTCTGTGTTGGCTTTGGGTGAGGCCTGCGTGCAAGCTGCACGGGTGGGGTCAGCACTTGTGTCACCCTGGGCATGTGATGGTTCGGGTTTCTTTAGGTCTTGCTCCACATTCCCAGCCTCTCAGTCCCAGCCTTCAGGAGGGGGGAAATGTTCATGTTCTCCGAACATGTTCATTCCCAAAGGATATTTTTCTCTGTGGTTCTAGGCAAACAAGGTAGTTTGTTGTTTTAGTTTGCTTTTTTGGTTGTTTCCCCCCACTACACACTAGGAAGTCTGCACCTGATCAGCCTAGTAACCTCTACTTTAGTGGTTCACAACCTTTTTAGACTCGAGTCATCCCTGGATAGAAGGGATGCACTCCTGGATAGACCTGGGGCACCCCTGGATAGACAGGAGGCATTTATGGATTGACTTGGGGCACTCCTAGGTAGATTCAAGGCATCCCTCAGATTCTGGCAGCTCTTTTGTCCCCAGCCCCTGCCCCGTTTTTTCACTACAGAAAAAAATGACAGCGTTTTTTTTCTGTTGTGAAAAAAACCCCAAAAGGCTACAGCTGTGGATTTCTATTCGAAACCCCTGGGTTTCTCCTGTGAATCGGATTTGTACACCTAACAGTGCTGCCATTCTGTGGCACCCTGGGGTGCTGCTGCACCTGGTGGAGACTCACTGCTCTCGTTTTGGAAACTCCAAAGTATTGCAGCTTTACAAAATGTGATAGTTATGTGCGTGCATTATACAATGAGCCTGGTATACATATAAAAAAAAGTCAAGGCAGCTCTCAACTATGGGTTGCAGCCTCAGGTTGTTTGCAGTAGAGAGACACACCCGCGGGTGTTCAAGGAGGGTGTCAATATAGGTGGCCAGGCTCTCGGCCGACTTCTCCGCAGCCAGAGACTGCAGCGAAGGGCCTTCGCCCAGTCTGCGGGCAGGAAGGCGGTGCAGCAGAGCAACGCCCACGCCCATGCACGGGGATATGCCAGAGGATATTATGTCCTCGTGTGGCCAGGGAGGTCCCAGCTGGAAAATAAGCAGCACTGCAGCCGTGGTATCCTCAGCGAATGTGACTATAAACTACGACGTAAGTGGCAGACAGTATGATGTCATGCAAACTTCATATACCCTAGGGCTGGGAGACCAGCAGCTCGGAACCTTCCCGCCCAGCTCCCGCTCTCGGACTTTGTCCCACCCCGCTTCCGCCAGCCAATCACGCCCCGCGCCAGAGGCTGACAGACTACGCATGCGCGCACCCCCAGACAGCGGCTCAAGCCGCTCACGTTCGCACGCATGCTCAGGAAAGGTCGCGCCGTCCACGTGACTCGGGCGAGGCGGTGGGGCCAGCGTGCGGTGAGGTCACGAGCGAGGGAACGTCTGTTGCCGGAAGTAGCTGCCGCCTCATTTCCGGCCGGGGCTCCTCGCGGGCCCGGGTGGTGCCGGCGGTTGCCGGAGCCGTTGCGGGGAGAGGGGCGGGGATGGCGCTGTGGCCGCCGCGCGCCCGGGGCCGCAGCCGGGTC